ACAGAGGCTCCGTCCCAGAGATCTCGGATGCTGAAGTTCCTTCTGTGAAGCAGTTCGGTGTTTGAATAGTTCCCACTCATCCTCTGTCAGTCATGTTACTTGCAAGCATAGCCTAAGCTCCACGTAAAGGATTTCCATGTTATATAAGGGTTGGTGAAAGGCCGGCAGAGGTTCACGCACAACAGACATGTTTGTTTCCAGTTGTTTCTGATCGGCAGTGGGCAGTCTACAGTCTCCAGACAGTTGGCTGCGCCCCCTGTTCTGTCTCCACTGTGGCCAGCATCCCTCATCGCTCTGTGCTTTTGCTGTTAGTAGGGAAACAGTTTTCACACAATCTTTTGAATCTTTATGCTCATTTATTTTCCTTTCATTCTCTCCTAGCAGTCTTCCTCTGGACCCTGTGCTATGCAGGGAGCCTCGGGGACACTTGGCTGCCGTGTGTCTATGGGCCTTTAGTGACTCTTGCAGTCTCAGGCAGTCCTGCTGTCGGAGAGTGTGGACAGTTCGAGGATGCACCCCCTCTGGGGGTTTGTGTCAGGATGAGACCCTGGTGTTGGTGGAAGCAGGAAGCTCACAGGTCACAGCCTCCTCCCAGTGACTCCCTGTCCTGGGTGTGCAGCGTCCCCCGCCTCGCCCTGGCTGCCGATGGACTCTGCTCATGGGGCTGCGGCAGGGTTTGCTAGGTCTCCATACTGGGAAGTTAACTTTTGCCACTGGTTCTTCTGAGGATTCCTGAACTATGTTGCTTTAAAATCTTATCACCAACTTCCACTGAGAGAATGTGCAGATAAGAGGAGAGAATGACACTGCTATTTGGTTACGATTGAAGACGTGAAGCTGAGCCAAGGAAATGGTTCTGTCCTTTGTAAGAGGATCTGCCTCATGTTGCAGAAGGAGCAGAGCTGCTCGGTGCACTTTCTTTGTATCCTGCCTATCCCGGACTCAGTAAAGCAGCGTGTTTCCAAGCCACCCCCGGCAGCTTTGCAGCTTATATTTTGTCCCTGTCAGGTTATCAAAAAGATCGTTATCTGAGTTCTGCTTCTGCCACCTCAGATTGATTGTCCTGTCTTTGCCAGAACTCCCGTGTGATGGTTAAGTGTTCTCTCAGTCGAGTTCCTGGTGGACATCCACTTGTGTCTTCTCATTGTGCAAAGGTTCTTGCGATTTCCACTGCAGTGGCATAACTCGGACAAGCACTGAATTCTGGAAACCTAGACTGGCTCCAGCCGCTGAACTCTTTCAAAGTTCTTGTTGCATTGACTTGTCTGAGCTTCTACGACTCTGACACGGTGAGGGGAGAAAGGGTGGTTCCCAGTCTGTCAGGGTGGAACCTCGGATGCAGCCTTGGGTGAAGGGCAGTCCGTCAGGCCTGGCGGCAGGTCTGATGCCCCGAGATGTTCCTGCTCCCTGTGTACGTCTCAGCTCGTCAGTCCTTGTCTCTGGTGAGCAGGAACCCTCAGATGTGGGCCTGGTCCTCCTCTCCTGGCATTGCCCAAAGTAGTATTTGCTAGAGCTAGAATGGGGCGGGGCCCTGCAGGCAGCAGAACCGTGGGAGCTCGTGTTGGGCAGGGTCTGGCGTCACTTTGGAAGTAGAGGGGATGTCTTCTTTGCTGGTTTTTCCACGATCTTGAAAGGATCTTAAAAGCCATTGATGCCAACACTGTGGCTAAGGAGCTGGATGGGTAACTCGCCTTAGCTTGAATCAGGTCTAATGATGCCAAGACAAGCAAAGGGAAACACACACACACACACACACACACACACACACACACACACACACACACACACACGGGTGGATGGAGGGAATCCACCCTGAAGAGAACTGTGAGAAGCCGAAATCACTGCCGTGCTTTATTGCAATGTGAGCTGAGGCAAACTGGCCAGTTTGTCAACAGCAAGCTGTGTGTCAGGTTACACAACAGTTAAAAAAAAAAGATTGGAATATCCTGCCCAGGACTGGTTCCCCACATTTCTTTCTTAGGTAACTGTGAATTTTGTTGATGTCCAAATGCATGTTGTGCAAAACCAAATGTATGCAAACTGTATTTTATAAGGTTGTATCTTTGGGATGTAGGCATCGTGCACGACCTACTTTTATGGTTTGTCAACAAGATCACTCCATAAAACGCGGTCTGCTATCTCCCAGCTGTGTCTAATTTGTTCTGTCTATCCAGGCAACACAAATAAAAATTTTTATTTGCATCATCTAGAAGAAATACCAGTGTATAAATACATAAGCAACACTCATAGGAAACAGGCCTGACTGTGGATGCTGTTGGGGGATGTTGTGCAACCCATTAAAGGGCTGAGAGATGATTTCCTTATCCATGTGCCTAGATAATAAATACTATACTCAGCAAATTGTGCAGTTACTCAAGTTCTTAAATGTTGCACAACATTCTACAAGTCCTGGCACAGCGCGCTTCTCTGTTCTCCTAGGAATACTTAGAAACCATGTCTGTTGCAGGAAAGCTGGAGCGCCATCAAGGGCTTCGCTTGGCTTGAGATGCTGGAAGATGTGGGGGAAAAGGGAAGCAGTGGGAAGGTTTATCCTCCAGGAAGCTCAACAACTGTTGACTTTCCCTCTCCCTGAGGGCCCAGAGCCACAGCCCCGAGGACTACAGATGTTCTGCCCTTTCATTTGCACAGCCTCAGCCCAGGGAGCAGAGCCAAGGGGTGGGCTTGATGCCTCCCCCAGTCGTCCAGCTGGCAGAGACATACCGGAAGGGTTCCACTGAGGGAGCCGGGATGTGGGGTGTGCTCTCCCTTCCTCCTGAGACAGAAGGCATCTCAGTGGGTCCTGATAAACGTGGAGCCCTTGCCTCCGAGTGTCTGGGCTAGATGAAAAGCTTCCATGCCTTTCCACATTGTGGCCAGGTGGGAGGTTCTTACGGCTCTTCCTCCACCCCTCGGATAGGCCTCTGGATGGCCAAGTGTGCCATGCACTGCTCCATTGGACGTCCCCTGGGCTGGGAGCTGAGAACTGCTGGAAGCTCTTGGGATTCAACCTGGTTGCTTGTGACGAGGACATCTTCAAGCGCTTAGCTGCACCTGCTGACCACTTCAGCTGACTTTTCAAAGATGCCAGCGCTGGCCATGGTGACTCCTGGCACATGGAGTGGTTCATTGCTGGAGAGGAGAGTTCAGCCGCATCTCCAGTTTTCATTCCATAATTGCCGCCTTAATCCAATTCTGAATACAAGCCAGCCTGCTCAGAGGTTCATTTGACTGCTCTCTCCATGCTGGCTCTGCAGAAGCTATTGAACCAAGTCAAAACACACTTTGTTTCCATAAATTCCAACATGTGAATCTCAAGGGGCCAGAACGAGAGAACCAATCCCTGCAAGGCTTTGAGAAGGGCACCCTTGGAACTGGCCACTGCTGGTTCTCGTGGGCGCCTCCCTCAGTGCCACAAGACCCGGCAGTTCTTGCCTTAGGTCTCAGACTGTGTATCCTCACCCCAAACAAAAAGAACTTCCCTGCCCAGTGCCTCAGGAGGACTGCTCCCAGCCATGCTGCTGTCACCACGCAGGCGTGTGGGCAGGCCTGCCGTCACGTGCTGTGGTGCTGCTCCAGTCCCCCGTGTTCCCAAGGGCACACCCAGGAGCAGGAACTCAGGCTGTGGGAGGAACCTCACAACTCAGGACTTCCATGTCACCGCAGCTGCTTCTGGCCAGATGGCCCATTTGCGCCACTGGCCACCAGGCCTCCTCAGGTGCCCATTCGCGTTGCCACCTGGAGCCAGAGTTCTTGTCCCTTGCACACAAGTTTATCGCTGAAGACCTAGCTGATCGCCCCTGCCCCACCCGAAGCCCGCATATCCATGCCTGGCCTAGCTCGCTGTCTACCACCCTCTATATGTACCCAGGGGTTCCAGCCTGCCTCTGCCGTGGGCCAGACTCCCAGCTTCTGGTTCCATGTTCCTCATCCCTCAAACACTGGGGGCTTTCGTTGCCTTGTAACCAGCTTGAGAGATTTCTGGGCCAGCTACGTCACTTTATGCTCTAGCCTTGGGCCTTTCGTAACCTGAACATAGTTCAGGCTTCCACATGGAGAAGGATAAAATGGTGTGGATTTCAAAGTATTTGGGGAATTGTAAAATGTCTGGGATTAAAATTTCAATACCATTTGTGCATGGTAAATGTGAAATCCTTAGTAACTTAACCCTGTGCCGGTATGACTCAGTCCTGGTTGAAGAAATGTGAATAACAAGCAGGGAAACCTGCCGATCCTACCCACGAGGCGTCCGCTGCGGCTGCGCCCAAGAGCGGGCGTGTGACCTACTGGGAGGCCTGGCCAAGCCCAGGGACACGACTGGGTCTGTTAGGCAAGTGACACACTTGCGGAAGAGACAACCACTTCCCCACTGTTTACGGGAGGGCGGAGGTGTTCATTGTATCGGCAGGACCCCCAGAATCAAGACCCTATAACAGTTTATTGAGTGACTGAATTTATTAACCAGTCTAGTCAGTCTGAACTAGCAAATTAATTTTGTCTATAGAATCACTTACTGAAGCATATAAAATTAGACTGTGTAAGTGCAGAGAGGAGAATTGGCGTTGTGTTTAACAGATTCACTGGGACTAAAGCAAATGGGTTTAGTCTTTAATGCAACTAAAGCCTTGGGACTTTCTACAGAGAGCTGATCTGAAGTAAAGCATTAACTCGTCACTTGAAAAAGTCACTGCTTATACATTTTTGTTGTTTCCAGGAGAGAATTATATACCTTGACCGTGATAATAATCCATTGTGTGTTACTGGGCCAACAGGGCAAAAAAGAAGAAGAAAAAAACTTGTTTTCTATAAGTTAGACACTTATAACAGCTAGATTGACAGAGAATTTATCCGTTTTTAACACTTGCAATGATTTAAGGGATTACAGCGTTGCTCTGGGCTTATTCAACTCTCAAATATTTTCACTGTGTCATTTGCGTAAAAGCCTCTTATGCCAAACTCTTCCCGGGCCGAATGACAAATGGGCTGTTTTCCTTTTGGTGCAGGGGCCAGCATCTGGGACCACGGAGCCGCCCCTGGGGTCGTCAGCACCTCCCTCTGGGACAGAGACCACTGGATCTCAGCAGACAGCATCCACTCGCAGGTCAGCCCCCTCCCCCAGCTCCGAGATGGCTGAACATTTAAAATCATGTTAACTCCAGTCGAATTCTTAGACCTTCATGATGCTAACTTTATCTTTAAGCGTGTAAATTTTCTTTTTAAGGCAAATCAATTTAAAGTTGACTGTTCCAATGCTTGGGCTAACGCTGTCTATGAAAAAGTTAATTCTCCAAGACCAGAGATAACTTTCAGATGTACGTGAGCTCTTCCGGACACACTGAGACTTCCTTGTTCCATGTGTCCTGATGGTGGGTGAATTTGTCCTTTTGTTACGTGGAACTATTTTTACACTTTTTTTTTTTTGAAATAGAAACCAGATTTTTTTCTTAACAGCAGTTCAGAATTGGAAAACCCTTTTCACTTTCAGGGAAGGTTGCCGGGGCCACTTTCATGGGCTGCTGATGCGACGGTTTACATTCATTTATCTTCTAGAATCTGAATGGAAAACTGAGCATTAAGGAAGGTTGGTGGTTTCATGAAGGGAGTCAAATGCCAAAACTGCATTTTTAGAAAAACATTTCTGTTTTACGAAGTCTGCAACAAACAGTGTGCAGGGTGCCAGCTCAGGTGTAATCGTCTTAAGAATTTTTCCAGGAAGAAAAACTTTGGCCGTTAAAGAAAGCTTCATCATGCCCTCACACCTCAAGCTTAGGAACAATATAACAGATGTAAAACAAGATGGGTGTGTTGCTTGACCCTGAAAATGTCTCTACGGGAAATATTTCTGAGTATCAATAATACACAAATACAGAAGCATCTCGACTTTAACAGGTCGTGGGGGTGATTGTGGGAACTTTTCCTGAGGATGGAGTTGCCAGATTTAGAAAAGAGAAGAATGCCTGGCTAAATTTGGGTTTCAGAAAAATAAGTTGTTTTTTTTTTTTGTAGGGCAAAAGTATGGCCCCTGCAATGATTATTCCCTGTGCAGCCTGACTCATGCCCAAAGTGTGTTTGTAGTTTATCTAAAATGCAATTTGAGCATGTTCTGTGAAAAAGTTACACAGAAAGGAGGAGACAGAGAGAATTCTTCCATCTGCTGGATCACTCCCTGGATGACCTCCTTGGCCAGAGCTTGGCTGGTCCAAAGCTGGGAGCCAGGAGCTTTTCTGGGTCTCACATGTGTGTGTAGGCCCCAAGGACTTAGACCATCCTCCACTGCTTTCCCGGGCCATCAGAGGTGAAGCAGCCGAGACATAAACTGGCGCCCCTTTGGATGGCAAGCCCACAGGCAAAGGGTTAGCATCTACACTGCTGTGCAGGCCCCATAAGTGTTCTGTCTTTGGTCAGAGCAGCAGGTAGCTGAGGGCTAAGGGCTTGCCTTCATGGAGGGGGCCAGACCAGGTATGGACTCTGTCATGGTGGGCGCCGGGCCAGCTGTGGGCTGGGCTCTACCCTCGAGTTGTTGTTCCCAGCCAGCCATCCTGCAGATGTCATTGGAAGCGCTGGAGGGGACAGCGATGTCCAAGGCCGAACAAGCTTGCCGCCGGTGCTTGTGATCACAGGGATTGTTTTTGTGGAGATCAGGAAAAGCCACTGTTCTCTGGGAGGTGTGTGAGCTCCTCTGGGCGTCTTCCTCAGTGCGGGGGCTGTGTGGGTGGCACCTATTCCTGTTGATTCAGGTGACCCCTCCCAGGTGAGCTGGGAACTGCCCTTCCTGTGGTGGCAGGGCTCAGCCCCCTGTGTGGCACCTGGGCTCAGCCTCGTGGCTGTGTAATTACAGCATGGGCTCGTGTTTCTTGGGTAGCTGCCAAGAAAGGTTACACGTGGCTGTCAGCGGATGGGCGTATTTGTCATGGAGCAGATGTGTGCAGGTGTTGTGGGATAAGGGCTCTGGCTGCTGTATATATGTGTGTGTGTGTCCTTGCTGTCAATGATAGGTAAGATTTTCGTTTGAAACCACATGCACACCATGAATCTTCAAGCAGAGCGAGCAAGGTCACATCAATGACTCCTTTCTTTGCTTTCTTTGTTGCCACACAGCTGTCTCTCTCAGAGTTCAGAGCTTGGGCTTTGACACTCACTCCCTGTGCCTTGCTAGCTAGCTTCTGACCAAACACCAGCAGCCCGGGTGGAGGCCCTGCTTCCTGCAGCTTGCATTCACCGGAAAACTGAAACAGAATCAATCCAGATTGGTCAGAGTTAACAGTGAAACAAGCATTATTCCAGCGGCCAACATGGGCAGTGTGTCTTGGTGCACTGAGCAGGATGAGCCCTTCTGAGAGGCAGACTGAGAGGCAGATGGCACAATTGATTGATGGTTAGCATCAACACCCTGGAGCCAACCTGAGCAGAGCAGGTGTGCAAACAGCTGGTGTGCCAGGGGCGAGGAGGAGCCGGATAAGGCTGGAGCTTGGGAAGGGGCGAGCGGACAGACGGATAGACAGGCCCAGGAGACTGGAGCAGCCGGGGCCCACATTTCCCACAGGGCTGGCTGGACTGTCACATTTATGACATGGAGAGGTTCCCTTGTTCATTAAGGCCACCTCCCCCTCTCCCAAACTCCTCCTACCCCTGCCCCACTGTGTCCAGGACCCCATTTCTGTCTGGGTCACAAGTCCAGTGAGTTTAGCAGGACCTGCGCCAGGATTCCCTGCTCAGGGGAAGCTTGGGGCAGAGCTTCCTACCCCCAGCCTCCTTCCAGTGAGGTGACAGGTGCAGCTCCCCGTCCCCTGCTGGCCAGGGACATGCTCTACAGCCCTCCCCACCCTCCAGCCGCCCTTGCAGCATACATAACCTTCTAGAAAAGCAGAGACAAGCTCCCAGGCCTTTCTCGTTCTTTCCTTTCTTACTCTTCTCATTCACATCTGTGGGAAGTCACAGCCCTTCGCACACAGGGCCAGGTCTCTCCCCTGGCTGGATGACATGTGGGGTGAGACAGCCACACAGATTTGGGGAAGAGCATCCAGGAGGGGAACAGCTAGCAGAAAGCCGTTCTTGCCTCTCCTGCTGCCTGCCAGGCCTGGTGCACATCAGCGTTCAGTTCTTGTGTTTCCATTCCTGGCCCCGTGCCCCGGTCTCCTCTGAGTTTCTGCCCAGGCACCCTTCTGTAAGGGGTTGCCCCCAGGGGTGTCACTCACTCTTGTGACTTTTGTCCATCTGTGCCAGGCACTCGTGGAGGTCATGGGTTCCCAGAGCTGCCGCGCTCTGAATCCTTGGTGAGAGTGAAGACTGTGGGAGGCGTGGTATGCGTGACGACTTCAGCTCTTGCCATCTTGGGTTGACTTAGAATCTGTAGCCATTGCTCCTTGTCAAGCAAGGGATGATGGTGGTGGGTCCCCGGGGGCAGCTCGTGGCCCCTTTTGGGGAGATCGCTGAAGGTTTGTTGATTGACACTAAGACTTGCCTCGTGCTGGGTTCTCACGGCAGTGGCAGACCCCGCTCCCCCACCACAGAGAGCAGAGCCCTGGGGCTCCCTGAATGGTTTTAGGTGTTACCTCCTCTTATCAAGTGTAGGCCCTAAGAAAGTGCTCGGAGCCCCAGGTTGCCTGGCGGAGTGCTTCTAAGGGACTTGGGTTGGTGTGGTCTCCCTGGGAACCACTCCTCCCATGGGTTTTCCCTTCCTGGGGGCGGGGCGCAGGGCCGCCACGTGCTGCTGATGGGTGGCGCAGCATGGCCGACGCTGTGCGGGGTGTGTTTCTCCTTCCCAGGAATTGTCTGCCCAAGGCAGGTGTCGCTGCAGGCTGCACAGTGGTACCTTGTGCGTAGCCATAGATGCTCAATGATTCTCCTCTTGGCTGTGTGGAATGTAGAGTGCACATTCCAACACAGGCCAGCCAATCTTGTTTCTCTGTAAGGGAATAGATTTAACAGAAATCGTGAGCTTGTCATAGAGCTGCACAGTGACACACTAGCTGGGCTATTTCGTCCACCCCTCTGGCTGTGTCCCTCGCTGTGGTCTGACTGCACCCACGGCCTCCCCCTTGCCTGACGGTTCCCATGAGGCTGCTGGAGACCTCAGCTCCCATCGCGCTCCTGTCCCCATTCTAGCCTGAAGCCTTGCTCTAGGATAGAGAGATTTGGGGACTGTTTAAAATAAACCAGAATCGGGCTCTTCTCTCTGAGCAGAGGAGTCACTATGCCCCAGGCTGACATCCTGGCATGTTTGTGAGGGTTCAGTGGTTTGCTGGTCACAGGCAGTAGAAATTGGAGCACTCTGAGACATTGCTGGCCCTTGCTGTGTGACCTTGGGTTCATCACTGGCCCTTGCTGAGCTTCTGTGTGCTGATCTGGGCAGGGTCCTGGGGACTTTGCTCCTGAGACAGCTGGTTGGGCTCTCAGCAAAGTCAGCTGCCCTTTCTTCGCCTTAAGGGAGTTTCCCAACTTGGTCTCCAGCGTGCTTTAGCAAGGTGACTTTTGTTGTATGAGAAGGGGCTGTGTTGTGCTCACTGGGCTGCCTAGCGGCCTCTAGCCCACTCACCCGGGTAGCAGTCTTGAATCATATATTCCTGGTGAAGAATCATCCTGGTTAAAAACTGTGGGATGGGGGAAGATGACAGTAAGGGAACCAACTGTTCCTGGGAGCCTCACGTTGACCTTGGCTGACCTTGAGCTGAAGCTAGAGGTCAACAACCCCCCTCCCTGAGGCCCTGGGCAGGGCATGCGTTCTGCCTGTCACCAGTCGGGGTTGGGCTCCTGGTGCAGTCCCTCTGCAGAGGAACATGTGTGAGGGTGTGGACAAGCCTGCGAAGTTTACTCACACACGTGGCGTCTTTATTCATTTGAGAGACAGATGGAGAGAAAAAGTTCCCGTCTGCTATTCTGCCCCCTAGATGCCCGCCAGGGCTGGGCTGGGGCCAGAGCCAGGAGCCAGGTACGTGGTCCAGATCTCAGGACCGGACTGGGGCCAGAGCCAGGAGCCAGGTACGTGGTCCAGATCTCAGGACCGGGCTGGGGCCAGAGCCAGGAGCCAGGTACGTGGTCCAGATCTCAGGACCGGACTGGGGCCAGAGCCAGGAGCCAGGTACGTGGTCCAGATCTCAGGAC